CTTAGTTATCACTAGTAAGGCAAAAATAGGCGCAATACCTAATAGCTGATTTTTAATATTTTTTTTTAACATACTACGTTTTTGAACAATATTTTTTGGTTAATTTTAATAGGTTCGTCATCATTAAAAGAAATTAAACTTTTTATTTTTATAAATATTTTTTACAAGATTTAGTAATGACCAAGGCAAGGATTTTCATGCACTTTAAAATGGGAAAATATGTACTAAAAATGTGGGAAATATGCACCAAAAAATGCTTCCTTTGAAATTTATTTATTAACATTAATTTTTCTTTTATCGTATTTAAGTAAATTTTTATAGATATGTAGAACTTTAGTTTTTGACAACAAATATATAGGTTCTTGATGACAGAGGTACCGCTTTATGTACACTAATACCAATTTAATAGAATCACGATCTCGTGTCAAGTGACCCAACTCAAAAAATCGATTTGGATGAAATTTGCACCAGTACTATTGGATAGTAGGCCAGACCATATATACAAGTCGATGCAAAATAATCGGCGGCAGCTAAATTGACGGCTCAATTTAACTTTTTCTTCAGAAATTGACCTTATATGCGTTTATTATATTGAAAAATCTCTGTCAGAGATACAAGCCGAGACGGCTCAAATCCACGGCGGCTGGACGCCGGTAATATTTTGCAAGCCGCGCCGCAGCAGACTTCTTTCGGCTCAAAAGTAGGGTTCTATAGTTGAAACGAAAAGTCGACTTTTCGACTTTTTTCATTTAGTTAAAAGTCGACTTTTCGACTTTTTGCATTTTATGAAAAGTCGATTTTTCGACTTTTCGACTTTTTTCATTTAAATAAAAGTCGACTTTTAGACTTTTAGACTATAAGTATTTTATAAATAGTCGACTTTTCGACTTTTTCCGACTTTTCGACTTTTTTCGACTTTTCGACTTTTTTCGACTTTTTGACTTTTTTCGACTTTTTCCGACTTTTTGACTATTTTCGACTTCTTTCTACTTTTTTCCGACTATTTTTTGACTTTTTTCAAGTTTTTCAGACTATTTTAGAGTTTTTGACTTTTTTTCCACTTTTTTAAAATGTTTGACTATTTTTGACTTGTTTCTACAATTTTCGACTTTTCGACTTTTTCCGACTTTTTTCGACTTTTTCCGACTTTCCGACTTTTTACGTCTTTTCGACTTTATTCGACTTTTTTCGACTTATCGACTTTTTTCGACTTTTCGACTTTCAGACTTTTCGACTTTTTTCGACTTTTATTCACAAAGTCGACTTTTCGACTTTTTTCACAGACGATAGTCGAGTTATCGATTTTTTTGGAACAAAATAGTCGACTTCGACTTTTTTCGACAAAAAGTCGATTGTTCGATTATTCGAAAGTCGATTTATAGAACCCTACTCAAAAGCTAAGCCGGTTTAAACGTAGCCGCTGATAAAGATTGGTATCGTACATGTATTTCAGAAAATAATTTCACCAATTTGAACGGAGTTACCACTATTTTAAATTCTTATGCAAATTAAAAAGTGTTGCCACGAATTCAGATAAGGTGGTGGCAGTTCTGCAACAACAACATTTTACATGTATTTTGTTTTTGCATTTGGTTTACGTAGATGTCAAAAACCATAAGTACGGCGAATTCATTTCATGAAAAATGTTTGTAAAATTTTTATATTTTATTAAAAATAAAGATAAAGATATTAAAATTTGTGAAGAAAATATATTCTGAATTGAATAATGTTTGTTTCAAACGAAAAATTCTATTCCGGCAGATTAATTTGCAAAATTTAAGTGAGTGCCTAAAGTTAAGTAAAACTTAATTTTTGTGAAAAATAAACATAAAAAAGTACATATTCACGAAAAAATATATATAACGAATGAATGAATCTTTGTTGCGAATGGATAATTCTACTCCGGCGGAGTAATTTTCAATATTTGGCCATAATGTAGCAGACGCCGGCCGGGTAAATACCTCATATGGGTTTTGTTATATAAAGCGTTCCTGAAGAGTTTTTTTTTTTAGTTAATCACTTTATCTACATAGTGTATATATAAAACCATATTGTTTAATCACGTTATCTACACAATGTTAATATAAAATATAAAACAATATTGTTTAATATGTTAACATTTAATAGAAAAAATATTTTTCCTAAATAACATATTTGTATACATACCAATTATGCCATTATTTAAATAAAATGATATTTGTTTACGAGATGCTTGGTGTTTTAGATTTTTCACATATATTATTCAAAATATTAACGAAGTTTTTCTCCGTTTAACGGACATTTTTAAATATAAAAATGTAAACAATAACAAACTTTGACAGCTACGTAAACCAGGCGAATTAAGAAAAAAATTATCAGCTGATTGAATAACACCACCTTATATGAATTCGCCTGTATTAATTAAGGTAAAATTCAACAAATTTTTTATGAAAAATAAATAATTTTTAAAGTATACCCATGGTGTAGGGTATCATATAGTCGGCCATGTTTGACTATACTTTCCTATTTGCTTTTTTTAAATTTTTAAAATATGTAATACAAAAAAACACAATTTATATTGTAACACCAAGAAATATTTATCTGAGTCCTAACAAAGCCATATATTCTGGATGCTTATGAAAATCTTAGTAGATTAAGCATTGCAAGTAACATATAAAATTCAAAGTTTTTAGAAATATGTACGTGTAAAAATGTTCCTGCATTTGTACAATTTGACAGCAAAAGTATAAATTTAAGCTATATATAAAGCAAAGCATATAATCTGACATATTCTTCGCGTCCAAAATATTCAAAGTAATCTAAGTATTAAGCTATATATACACGGTTGTTAAATCTTACAACGTTGGCAGTAAAATGTGCAGAAAATGCCTAACAACGGTGTTATTACAAATTTTATCTTGCAATATTGTCAATAGTGTTTTTTCTGACAACGTTGCAAAAGAAAAATTTGCAAGTTCACATGATTGTTGGACATTTTCTGCACATTTTACTGTCAACGTTGTAAAAGTAAATTTTTTTTAGACATTTTTTGAATTTTGTTGAAAAGAAATTTTAAGTATGTTTTTAATTTGTTTTTGAGTTCTAAACAATCGGTTACTTTATTGTGCGTCCAATAATGGTTTTCACATTATTTTCTTTCTGTGTGTGTAAAAAACAGTTGATAGTGTACGATTCAATATGTGCTAATAAATCGACAAAACTCTAATTAAGGTATTTACGTATGTATCTGTTTATGTATAAGTTGTTATAAGAGTACTTGAAAGTAATGCAGACGATAAGTAATAGTCATTGAAATGTAAGTGGTAATGTAAGCACAAGCCATGAGTTTTTATTGGGATATTATGTTCGAATTTTCATAACTGAATTCAAATTTTCAAGTTAATTTCGAAAAAAATAGCTTTAAAATGTATACCTATAACAGTTATTTTTGTAAAATAATTTTATGTAGGTATAACACATTTTTCTAAAAAAATTGTGTAAATTACAATTTTCTCTGTAGATTATACAACATTTGTTTCTGTAGGAAATTATGTGTATAACATTTTTTATATATGTAGATAATTTTAGGTATAACGATTTTTGATACAAAAATTTTGTGTATAACCGTTTTTTTTTTCAATAGAAAATTACATTTTCTTTAAAAAACAGTGCATATAACACACAAAAATACTTTTTCTCTACCAAAAATTAGGTATAGCTTTGTATAGAAAAATGCATATACCTATAACACTTTTTTATAGAAACAAATTATTATTATACTTATTCCAATTATAATTATGTTCATAACATATTTTTCTACAGAAAAAATGCTAGTATTATAGTTATTTATATAGAAAAAAAAGCTTTAGAAAATTGTTTATATAATAGCACTTTTTTATAAAAAATAATGCTTTTCTCAAACAAAAAATCTAATGCTAGTGGCGACTATCGAAAAATTTGGTGTTTTTAACATGGTTTACAAATTACTAACAATTATTTATTTTTATTTCAAAAATGTTAAATGGATCTAAAACTAAACACCTAATTGTAATAACTACAAATCATCGTAATAACATTTTCCAACTCTAGGAAAATAGTTTGAAAAAGAGAAAAACGTAAAACTGCCGACTATTGGTACATTTTTTACCCTACATCCTGTGTTGGGTTGTGAATTTGAAAAATTATGCAATTTTTTGTTAAAAAGAATTAAATTTTATAATTTTTAGTGATTCTACCTTGTAATAGTTGTATCATGGTTTAGAAAATAGTTTAGAAAATACTCAATTTTGACAATACTCGGCATTGTAATCTGAAGCGTTCTGTAGTCAGAAAAAAAAACGTTTATGAATTGTTTTCAAAAAATGTCTATGGAAAACAGTCAGTTATATTTTTTTAAATCAAAATACAATTTATGCTTATTTGTTGTTTCTAGATAACGTGTGAAAAGATTGAGTTAAAATTTTACGTGTATGTATTTTGTTTTTGTTACAATATCAAAATACTAGTAAAATTTGTGCTCAAACTACTCGCACGTTATCTAGAAACAACATAGACTAGATACAATAATTTTTAACAAATATTAATACACAGTATTGTAATCTTAAAATATCTTTATTAATTATATATTTATGAAATTGTAAAATCAAACCGCAATAAAAGGCAGTTGTAGTAATAATTTATTTAATAACAAACCTAATATACCAGAAAGGAAAAAATATGAGATCATTCTGCTAAATTACATTTTATTCTACTCATAACATTTTTGTATGTACATATGTATATGCATATGTTTAAACAAATGTCATAGCTTGTTAAATACATAAGTACATAAATATGTGATTTTAAGTTATAGACATGTTAAATTAAGTAAATTTGTATCCATTTATTCACTATAGAGACCATAAAATATATTACTATGTACCTACGTCCATATACATACATACTTACATATGTTCATACAAGCTGAATAAGGCTAAACGGACATAAAGTTACGAATTGCTTTATACTATACGCAGACTTACCGAGAAATAGCGTTATTTTATTAAAGGACTATATATATTTCCAGCAGATGACACCTTTTTATATCAAATAAGATATGACTAATCCTTTGATATCGCACCTTTTAGCTTTAGGTCGTATTATTGATTTCAATTTGTTTTATTATTGTTTTAAATAAACATCAAATTTTATATTGCCAATATTTTTTATAAATCTAGATCCATATACGGCAAATTATTCACACTATGCCAAAGTTTAATAATTTTCACTCCACAACAATTTTATTGTACATTAATTACTATTACAATTTGGTTTAAGTAGAATATTTCTACATCCGTATTATGACTAGAAAACATAAAAAATTAAAATTTGTTGTAACATAGTTGGAAAAATTCGTAGTAATATACAATCAATGTGATGACAACGATTTCTTAATTAAAACCCGCTAAATGTTTAAAAAATCGCAAGAAACAAGTACATGAAAATAGGGTGCTTAAATCACGCACAAAAGAAAACAACCCGACGAAAAATAAAACAAACCTTAACAGCTGTTTTATCAAAATAAAAATTATTTTGGTGTGGTGGGTTATTTTTTGTTTACAAATATGTGTTTCTGCACGTTGAGAAGACGCAAAAACTCGTTTTCATTATTTATATTGAGTAGTCTATGATTTATATTTTCAATATGTGTTTATGCACGTGGAAAAAATTCAACAAAATTGATTTTCACGATTTACATTAAAAAAATTATTTTTGATCAATTAAAATATGTACATATATAAATGTGGAAAGGAACAAATCTGATAAAATATAAATATATTTGGGATTATATCTTTACAGAATGCCTTTTAATAAAAAAAACATTCAAAAAATGTTACTGTGACATATAACTGCTATCGGACGATCTTGTGCACGATAAAAACATATATAGAACTTTAAGTTGGAAATATAGAAATCGGATGGCATACTCTGTTTGCGATTTTAGGTAGGGTCAACTGTGGACCAACCCTTACAAAATTCAATAGATAAATTTTGTTTCATATAAAAGTTGTTAATGTCGAATTTTATAGCTATACATTTTTTAAGCCAGTTATGAGCGGTAGTAATTTCCCGAGGTGGACCTTATATCGGGGATAGGTTAAATTATGGACCGATCCTCTTAAAATTTGACAAAACGATTTTGGCTCCTTGTTTATGTGGAATTTCTTTGCTATATTGGTATTTTTATTACAATTATTGGAGTTAATATCTTTATCTAAAGGGGAACTTATATGGGGGTAGGGTCAATTTTGGACCAACCCAGAAAGGTTTTGGATCATATAAATCTTGTAAAATAATTTCCTGAGAGCTACTTTATATGAAGCGATCCTCATAAAATTTGGCAAAAAGATGTTAGTTCCTATAAAACTTGTTTTTGTCGTTTTTCTTCGCTACTAAAAATATTTTAGAAAATATTGGCTAAGATCCCAGTCTATACTTTTATGGATTTTAGACCAATATTTCGATGTTACAAACGGTGTAAAAAGTTCATTGACTCCCTGATGAGTTTATCGTAAACCGATATTGTCAATTTTCAATAACAAACTCCATCAACTAAAATTATTTTGGCAAATATTGGCTAGATGGTCTTAGACTGTAAGATCCCAGCATATACTTTTATGGATATTAGACCAATATTTCGATGTGTTACAAACGGTGTAAAATGTTCCTTGACTCCCTGATGGGTTGTGTCTTCCAAGCGGTGATTTAGAGATCTTGAAAGTGACGGAACTAATAGGGAATCACATTGTTCGCCGGTCTCTGGTAAGATTTTAGGTTGATAGTCATGCTGCACTTAAAGCATTAATATGTCATAGCTGTATTCTTGCATAGTCGTAGAATGAAGAAAAGATCTAAGTGTTATTATAAGACCGTTTACAATAAGGCTGTGTTGGGTACCAGGACCCTGCAATATACACAAATGAGGTATCTGGCGAACTGACACGATGAGGCTCGAATTTTGACCCATATGAACGGAACAAGTAGTTAAAGCCACCCCTTTTTCATTTTTTAGGTTGATCTCCGATGGATTCCGTGACTCTATCAATCAGTCATGGAATATAGAATGAATTGCATGCACATTATATAGGGTAAATGTACCAATAGTCGGCAGTTTAACGTTTTTCTCTTTTTTAAAGTATCCCCCTAAAGAGTCGGAAAATGTTATTACGATGATTTTTAGTTATTACAATTATGTGTTTAGTTAAGTTTTAGATCCATTTAACATTTTTGAAAAACAAATACCTAGTTTTTTAAAATTAAACATAAGTTTCGTAGAGGATATTATAATAAGAACACTTTTCTATAGAAAAATTGTCATACTAGGAAATTTCTATAGAAAAAAATTGTTATTTATACTCATAATTTTTTTTTTTTTGTAAAAAAACAGTTAAGAAGCAATTTTTGTTAGAAATAATGGAACAAGTCGGTTTTAGTGACATTTCTCAAAAAAAAAACCCAATAAATTTTTTTTGTCGGCCACGCCTACTTTCGAGTGGGCGGTGCTCTTTGGGTTTTTTCCGAAAAATATATATTTTTTATTTTTCTTTCATCTAAAAGAAATCGGAAAAAATGTCTATATAATTCTATTATAAATTTCTATATGTTAATAGCCAATGAATTAAGCTTTTATTTAAGGTATAAACCATTCTGTATCTAATCAAATGAAAGAGATATTTGATTTCAAAAACCATTTATTTTATAATTTAATTTACATATCATCAAAGTGGTCAGATTCCCCTGATGAAGAAAATAGTTCCTCGTGAGAGGCCAACATTTGTATGTTTGTGTCATGCGGACCTTCCGAAAGAGGATTATATAACTTCTATGGTATGTCCAACACCGGTTTCGCTTAATAAAGATTTCATAAATAGCCGGCCTACGGCTGGGCGCAAGATTTTCTCCTCTATGGTATGTCCAACACCGGCTTCGCTTAATAAAGATTTTACTAAATAGCTGGCCTACGGCCGGGCGCAAGGATTTTCTCCTTTATGGTATGTCCAACACCGGCTTCGCTCAATAAAGATTTCCTAAATAGCCGGCCTACGGCTGGGCGCAAGATTTTCTCCTCTATGGTATGTCCAACACCGGCTTCGCTTAATAAAGAATTCCTAAATAGCCGGCCTACGGCCGGGCGCAAGGATTTTCTCCTCTATGGTATGTCCAACACCGGCTTCGCTTAATAAAGATTTCCTAAATAGCCAACCTACGGCTGGGCGCAAGATTTTCTCCTCTATGGTATGTACAACACCGGCTTCGCTTAATAAAGATTTCCTAAATAGCCGGCCTACGGCCGGGCGCATGGATTTTCTCCTCTATGGTATGTCCAACACCGGCTTCGCTTAATAAAGATTAGAATACCACAGGGTATACAGAGGCGTCACGAGCAAAAAACTATTTCTCTCTCTCTCTTTCGCACAAAACGATTTCAATGACTTTTTTAGCTGTATTTTATATACCTCTTCTCACCAAACAATTTCAAAATCAAACAAAAGCTGATTTTAGACTTTTTTAAATGTCAAAAGTGACACCTCTGTATACTTTGTGAGTATACATACGTTTTTTTAATAGCAAAATCATAATTAAATTATTAATATCTCAGGAACTTTAATACTTACAAAAACATATTATACCTTAATAAAAAGCTAAATATCTTGGCTTTTAAACAATCGAATTTATATACTTACCTATAAAGGCATTTTTCCCGATTTTTTAGATAAACCTCAAAAATATCGGGTCAAAAATTATGTTTCCCAAAATTGACCTATATATCCTTGTATATCATTGGAAAGGTCTTTGAAATACCTTTAATTTGATATATTAATCGGTTAAAACAAATGTATATTTTTCGAGATATAGCCATAAATATTTTGAACTTTAGAGGCCCGCATCCCCTAAAGTAGGCGTGGCCGACAAAAAATTTTTACGTCATTTCACTCACAAACGAACTCACTATTAGTGGTGAAATTTTCGACGTGATTTGAAAAATGTCACTAAAACCGACTTAAGCCGAACAAATTTCAATATGCAAAAGTTTTAATAGAAAAAACTGTTATACACATATATTTTTTGTATAGAAAATTATATTCTGTAGTAGAAAATTGTAATCTTCTATAGAAAAAGCTATTATAGAAGTAATTTTCTATAGGAAAAAAGGGTATACATACAATTTTTCATAGAGAAAACTGATATACACATAATTTTTTCTATCAAAAATTGTTATACCTAAAATTTTCTATAGAAAAAAATTATATACACATAATTCTCTACAACAAATGTTGTGCAATCAATTTTCTATGGAGGAAATTGTAATACACACACATTATTATAGAGAAAAAGTGTTATACATAAATTTTTTAACAAAAATAACTGTTATACATATAATTTTTGAAGAGAAAATTGTTATATACAAATTTTTCATAGTAATATACCCAATTTTCTATAGAGAAATAATAAATTTTAGAGTGCCGACTATAGAATATGTATGATCGAACTTATGACGACAATAAGAATTCATAAAAAATTTTGTTCCTAATGGCGGCAACTTTTTTCTTTCATTTAAATCAATTTTTGTCAAATAAATCATTTAATTTGATATAAATATTCACTTGTTTAAGGTGGCACTAAAACTATATTTTTTTTAAGAAAATTGACAGTACTACAAATGTTGCAAAGCTGTCACTATATAATGTCAAATAGAGAGGAAATTAGTAATCCTACTCAAAGTATATTAATAAAGTAGCATCACTTGAACAGCTGACTATTTTTTTTAAACTAGATAAATGAAGCAAGTTATCAAAGTTTGTTTTGAAAATTGTTAACATTGTTTACGTCGCCATTTTTAAATTGTGTTTTGCTATTTGTTAAAATTTGTGAAAAGTTGAAAAAGTGAATTAAAAGTGGTTTTAAAGTAGTTTAAAAGTGTAATAAATTGTATAATATATAATAATATAATTAAATTGTTAATATTTTTAACTTAAAAGTAATATTTTTTATTTATGTTTTGTTCACATTGTTGTTCAAGGAAATTTTATTTTGACACAATCTTAAATTATTCCAAAAACAAAATATATGTGGTTGTTGTAGATGTTGTTGTACAACAAGAGATGTCGCTACTTTATTAATATACTTTGATCCTACTTAAATTTACTCATTTCATAAAGCAAAAAGACCATATATTCTATGAAATATAGATCAAACCTTAATAAATTTGTACAGCTTTTCTTATTTATATACATTTTTATTTAAAAGATGCCGACTACTGGGTGATGCCGACATTAGGTGCATTTACCCTATGGCGTTTTTAAAAAAGCTTGAAGAAACCGGGATTATTATTGCTGTAAATGGTGTACAC